GGAGAGGGTTATGCGTTGGGGGGAGCGCCGGGATGGCGAGCAGGGGCAGCAGCAGCAGGCAGGGTGCGCTTCACGACCTGAAGCAAAGGCGCCTGCGCTGCTTTTGGCCGCGCTTGCGCCCGTGCATGCCTGGCCCGCGGCTCGCGGCACGTCCGCCTGCAGCCGGGGCGCCCCCAGCGCGGGGCCGCGCGGGGCTGGTCGCTGTGCGTCGTGTAAACTCCGCACAGGCGGTGAAACACTTAAAAAACACTTCGAACATGTATTGGAATCGCCCCCTTGCTATTACATACTATTATATACTATTATATACACAGTCGAATATGACTATGGCTGTACAGCCGGCTCACGTGGATGACGTTGTGTCGCCGCAGCTCTTTTAGGCCCTCAGCCAACTGCACCAGAAAGTACCGCGCCGTCGCCTCCGACACGCGGCCGTACCGCCGGATGTACAGCCCCAGGTCGCCGCCCGCGCAGTACTCCAGGACGATGTATATGCGGCTGCCGTCCTGCCGGGGCGGGTTGGTGTTGGGTGAGCGGGGCGAGGGCCCGTTGAGGCAGGGTGGGCGGCGTTTGAAGGGCGCAGCTTTGGGCGCACCATCCACAAGCGACGCAGTGGCGCTGGAGCAAGGCCTGTGGATAAGGAGACGCTACCAATTTGCAGCGGTGGTTGCTAGAGCATGCTGGGCTGACTGAGGGAGTGGTGGGTACATCAAGGGGGCACGGTGCGCACCGCCTTGCGCCGATGCTATGCTCCGCACCGCGCCACCCCGCCACCTGCGCACCTTGAGCAGGTCGAGCAGGCCAACGATGTTGCGGTGCTTCGTCTGGCTGAGAACAGCGACCTCCGAGGCCAGGCTCTCTTGCAGCTTCTTGTTGAGCTTGTCCGTGTTGATCTCCTTCACAGCAGCGGGCGCCCCTGTCGTCGCATGCCGCGCCCTCCATACCACAGCAAAGGAGCCGCGCCCTAGCTCCCCCTCGATAATCCAGCTGCCTACGCAGCGCTCCATCCCGAAGGGCGCTTCGGAGCTCATCAGTCTCGTCTCATCGTTGCTATTTCAATTCGATGGCGATCAGCACCCACGTTTTGACATCGTTCTACATCTAGTATTCATTTGAATCCGTCCCATTTTTTTCCTGTAACCCGAGTGTCACTCCAGCGTGTAGCACGGGGATGATCGGGAGGGCCGTTGCCCTCAGCAGGGCCTTTAGAGCGTCCGCAGCGCCAGCACTTCGATCAGCCCAGCGGCGCGGCGCCCGGCGAATGGCAGCGGCAAGTGCCGCAACTGATGCAGCCGCTGCATCTCCTGCAACGCCGGCCGCAGTTGTGGGGAGGTGCGGCGCGGCTGTCAATCCTGCCATAATCATTACTGTACTTGCCACCAGTGATACGATACCTTGCCTGTGGTGCCGAGCGAATTCGGCGGGCGTTTGCACACGCGCACGCGGCGTTGAAAGCCGCGAGCGCAACCTTGCTCGCAGCCTGCCGCGCCATGTCACGCTGGGTCGCCTTCGCCGATTGCGCAGCAATCCACAGCGCCGAAAACCCCACCAGTCACGTGCTGACATGTCCTCGTCCGCAGCCGGCTGCATGTGCGCCCCATTCTTGACAGTCAAACGCACTCGCGACACCACAACCTGTGTTTTCAAATTGCAGGGAGGTGGTGGCAGAGGGCCGCTTCCTGCGACTCGTGCAGCTGCAGTACACGCGGCCGCCGCGGTCAGAGGTGGTGCGGCAGTGGCAGGCGGTCGAGCGGTGCACCACAGACCGCGGGGACGGGAGCCACGGCATCGACGGTGAGCGGCTGCCTGCCTGCCTGCCTGCCTGCCTGCCTGCCTGCCTGCCTACCTGCCTACCTACCTGCCTGCCTGCCTGCCTGGACATTAGGACAGGAGGACAGATGCGGGTAAAGCCTCGAGATACGGTCGCTGGGCAATCAGCCCAGCTGCTCTTACACCGGGCAAGCGATCGATCCAACGATGCATCAGCGTTGGCGCATAAGTCTCGCGCAGCCGCGCGCCAGGGCCAGCGCGCGAGCGCTGCCCACCCGCTGCTAAGATCGCCGGGCTGCCCCCGCTCGCACGTCGCCGCCGCAACGCCTGCCTCTGCAGCCGTCGCCGTGTTTGCCGTGGTCAAATCCAAAACGCGGCCGCCACAGCTGGTCGTGGTAAAGCAGGTGTGTCCCCAGGCACATTGCGCCCGGCGCGGCCGCGGGCCGAGAGGGGTGAACGCAGCAGATGCAATACTTCAGCCCATGCCCGCCAATGAGGGCATGGGATGTGGGACGCAAAAGCCGCGGACGAGCGGACCACGCTTCGCCTCCACTTGACTGCACACCATCGGTCTCATCACCCACAAGCGAGTCCGCCTCTGCCCTTCGATGATTGCAGCCCACCCCACCCCCTGCGCGTGCGTCCTCTTGCTCCCGCCCTCACGTGCACGCGCGTCAGTTCCGGCCGCCGCTGGGATTGACTACGATAGAGCTACCCGCTGGGCTCGTGGACAGCGGGGAAGACCCCCAGGTGGGGCGTAGGGTCTACATTCAGGCTTTGGGATCCAGGCCCAGGATTTTGGGCTGAGGTGTGGGTGCGACGACATGACCAAAAGACGGCGCTCCCAAGAAAGTCGTACGCTCGGCGGGCCCGCCGGGCGCGGCCTCGCCTGCTGACCTGGCCCCTGGTGCCTGCGGCGACCCAGCGCCCCCCGCCGCCCCGCCAACACAGCCGGCGCGATGGTTGTGCAGCGCTGTGGCCGCCCCGCGGACGCCCCGCCTCACCGCTCGACCGCCCCTTGCAGGAGACGGCCCTGCGTGAGCTGCGGGAGGAGACGGGGTTCGCTGCCACCAGAATCCTGGGCACCGGCGGCCGGCAGTACCTCAGGTGCCGACCTTGGTCATTATATTAGTGGCAGTGAGTGAGAGATCTTGATCTGAGAGGGGCGGGCAAGCTGGGCGTCAAGGGGTCTGCTTCGTTCCTGCACAGCTGCGTGCGCAGGTCGGAGGAGGGTGCGTTTCGCTGCAATACATGAGCCAGGGCCGGCGTGCGGACGAAAGCACCAACCCATGAGAATTTTTGCCCAGGCTGACGGCGTGATCGCAACCTGCGCACCGCACCGGGCGCCGCGGCCCCTCCCTGCCGCCGCGGCCACTGCAGCCCCGGCCTGACGAACGAGAACATCGTGACCGTTTTTGTTGAGGTGCGACGCGGGGCAACGTCAATGCCAAGGGCGCAGCACAGACTCGACAGGGCCCCAGCGCCCTCAAAGCGCCGCAGACTCAAGGGAGACGCGGCGCCCCTCAGCCAAGTGCGACGAGATGCTCTTGCCGCCTTCGCCCGTGCATCAACACGTGCGTGCACGCGTGCCGGCACACGCGCGCGCGCCCGCGTGCGCGCGCGCACACACACACACACACACACACACACACACACACGCACACACACACACACACACTAACACACGCACACACTAACACACGCACGCACGCACACACACCATCCAGGTCGACGGGGACGCCTACGAGGGCGGCCAGCCCGCCCCCCAGGCTCTGGAGGAGGACGAGACCATTGAGGTGGCCCTGCTGCCCCTGGATGCTGACTTGGAGGGCCGCCTGCTGGCCCTGGAGGGGCAGGGCCACCCTGTGTGGGTGGGCCTCCACTCTATCGCGCAGGGCATGAAGCTCGGGGCCATGTTTGGGCTGCAGCTGTGAGGGGCTTCGTACGTGTTGCCCCGTGTCCCCATGCATCGCGCACAGAGCAAGAAACCCCACATTGTTCGCGGTCTGTAATCGCTGTTTCAGCTGTCAACTCAGCCCTGAACCTTGTGCCACAACAATTAGAGACCCAGGTTGGGCCAATAGCCTCAGGGCAGAGGGCGCCGACGTCCCCGTCATCACTCGTCCCGCGCGCGGGCGCGTCACTTCGCCCCCGCGGCGGCCAAAGGCAGCGCACGCCTGGAGCCTCCTGCGTGTGTGCGCCTGCGGGGCGGGGCGCCTCGGGAGCGCGCCGTGCCGCCAGCTCTTTGCAAGCTCCTTGGGGCGCATCCGCAGACGCCGATGCGGGCGCGCCGCCGACCCTGCCGCCGCTGAGGTGGTCTCTCTGATGGGGCTCGCCGCCCTCAGGGGGGACTGCGGTGCCTGCAGCCACACACCCTGGCAACCGGCCCAGCGACGCGCACGAGCCGCGCCGTCGCTGGCTTTCGTGTTTGCAACACGGCCGTGTTTGCAACACAGCGGCGCACCCCAGCTGCCTGGCAGTGCTGCGCGGCTTGCTGTTGTGGCGGGGTGGGGGCGAGGGGTCGACTACGAGATCGTGATCAAGAAAGTGACTGCCTGCCGATCGATTACAGCCGCGCCACGCCAAGAAAGTCAAAACAGGGGCAGTCCGCAAGCGGATTGGGGCGTCACGGGCGGGACAGAGTGAGAGCGCCGGCAGGCTACCGTATATAGTCGTATTGTTGATGAAGATGTGGTGGAGGCAGGCGATGGGATGGGGGCAACGCACGCGCTGGTGCGGGCGAGCTTCAAGAATGGTGGGTCATGAATCAGGCCTTAGCCGCCGTCACAGGCAGGGAACATCATTGGACAATCACAAAAGGGATGGTAGCCAAAAATCCCTGGCTGGAGCGACCCAGAACACAGTACAGACGTGCCCCTGTTTGGGAGGCAAGACCAGGGGTGCAAAAGTAGGCGTCCGGCTCTGCCTATGCCAAGCCTTTGGCGCCGCTCCGCCGCCGCTTCGACGCGGGCTCTGCGGCAAACGTGTCGGCAGCGGGCGCCTGATGGTTCCCGTTGCGCCCGCCCGCCTGCCGCCGCCGCTGCTGCTGCTGCTGGTGATGATGACGCTCCTGGTCCGCCCGCTCCTGCTCGCTTCGCTGCTCCCCAGCTGCCTCCTGTTGCTCATCTGCTGACATCACCTCCTCCTCCTCCTCCTCCTCGTCCTCCTCACCATCTTCCTGCGCGTCCTCCTCCCGGCCCCGCTCCTGCCGCGAGTTTTTGGCTTCCACGCCTCCCCCCGCCCGCCTCGCCGCCGCCGGCTGCCTCCCCTTGCCCTGCCCCTTCGCCTTCCTCCGCCGCCGCCGCCTGCCCCCCGCGGCCTTCTTCCCTGCCCGCATGTGCGCCGCCTTGCGGCCGCCCTTCATGATCAGGAATATCCGCCCCCTGCAGCTCGGCGCGCGGCACTTGCATTCGACAAAAGCCTCCTCTTCACTCAGCAGCATGACGGGCCCCGACGCCGCCGCCCCCGCCGCCGCGCTGCGCGTCGCGGCCGCGCCGCGCGCTTTTGCGGCCGGCCGCCGCGCCTCGCGCTCGCCGCGGCGCTGCTCCGCGCGCTCCGCCGCCTGCGGGCAGTAATCGACGGTGAGCTGCTCCCCGGGCCGGATGTCCCTCTTTGTATACATCACCTGCGGCGGCGGCGGCGCCGCGTTGGGGACGCGACGTGAGTGGCCCGCTGCGGACACCGCGGCTGCCGAGCAGACCAGGCGGGGAGGAGCTGCGCGCCGCTGCGCCTGCCCCAGCAACTGGCCGTGCCGCCTTCTTGGTCGAATCAGAGGCGGGCGCTGCGGCGGGCGACGGCGAGGCCGCGTCGGGCGCTCGCGTTCAGGTTTGCCACGTGGCGTACCCCCTGAGGCGCCGACTGCGGCCGCGCGGCGCGCTCACCGGCAGCATGCAGGGGAACGCGGCGTCGCCCATACATAGGTTGAAGCTCTCAACATTCGGGTCGCAGCTGGTTTGGGTGGGTGGGGTTGCGTAGAGGGATCGGCTGGGGGTCACGGGTTCGAGGATTGATGCGTCAAGGGAGGTTGGCTGGGGTTGGGGGTGGTGCGACGCGGCATCGGCTGCATTTCGGGAAGTCTGGAGTGTAGCGAGGTGACCTGGGTCCGACAGGAGGGGTGCCGGCAGCAGCAATGCGGGACCCGCTAGTGCAAAGGACGGGGCGGACGGCGGCACCCGCGGCGGCCGCCAGCGGCCGGCGCGCGGCGGCAGCGCGCGCCCCGCCGTTGGGGGCAGGAGCAGCGCGGCGGGGCGAGCCGCCCGCGCGGGCGCCGAGCCACTGACCAGGGCGCATCGCGGCCCCCGTCCGCCCGGCCCCCTGCGCGTGCGGCCCCACCATGCCGTCCAACCCCAGACCTGTAAACCCTAAACCCTGAAACGTAATCGGCACCTGTGGTTTATGAACCTCGTGAAGTTCCCCGCGAACGTCGCGTCGACTATCCAGGCGTACGCCTCGTCGTCGCTGCCGTCGCCGTCGCCCTGCACCTCGCACGGCCGCGGCTGCATGAGCCTGGCGCGCGATCGCGGGTGGGTGCATGCGAAGTGTTGGTCTGTGCAGGGAAGTGCATCCTTAAAGTGGGGTTGAGCAGGGGGAACCCTAAACCCTATCCAGATAGGCAGAACAGGCAGTCAACAGTAAGGGGTGACGCAAGGTGCTGGGTCGTCCCACGAACCCGCCTTGGCCCAAGCCAACAGGTCAAGACGCACAGCCACCCGCTGGCGTCACCCGTGTGTCACCCGGTCACCAGGTGTACAGCAGGCCGTTGTCACCGTACAGCCTGCGTTCGCGCATGTCACTCTCCGCCAGTGACGTGAGCTCGCCGACGTAGTCAGACAGAAGCTCCCCCTGTGAGTTGCCGGCGGTTGTAAGCAGTTGAGGGCAGTTGGCGGTGTTTGAGGGCGGTTATTGGCGGTTGTTGGCGGTGGAGGGCGGTTGATGGCGGTCGCGTGAGATCCCACGGACCCTAGGGACCGCCACAGGCCGGCCACCGCGGGGCGCGCCGTAGCCCCGTGCAAACGCCGCGCGCGGGCCCGCGGCATGGGTGTGTTGGCGGGGAGGTGTGCGTTGACCCTTTGGTCCGAGCCCCGAACCCTGGAAGAGGGGGCTCGAATCTGCAGCATCCCATTATCGCACCTGCGGGATGGTCTCCAGCGCAAACACACCCAGGCCTGTGCCGTCCCCCGCGTCCTGAATGCGCAGCTTGTACTGCAGGCAACGGGAGGGGCGGCGGCGGGGTCGCGCCGACAGACGTACTGCCTATTATCCAAACACACGACGCATTCTTTGCCATTCCAACCGAGGGCTTTGGGATTCAAATTGGGCGATCGCGAGGGACTGCATTTTAGCATGCGTGTGGAGCGTGCTCGCTTGTGCCTGTTTGTCGGAGTGGCTGCGTGCCGCTCCGCCTTGGCCGAGGGGCGCGGCTGAGCAGCCCCCAGCCGAGGCCTGGCGAGCCAGCAGGCCCCTGCTGAGCTCACTGCGCCCCAAATTCCCTGTATGCTCCCCCAGCACTCACACTGAAACACACACACACACAAACACACACACACACACACAAACGCGCACACAACGTAGCACGCTTGCACACATACACCGCACGTATCCTCACACAAACATACACACACACACATACACACAACACACACACCTTGAGGCCCTCTCTCCAGACATCCAGCAGCTTCAGCCGCATCTCCGGCCCCCCACATTCGCCCTCACGGCATGCGCACTTGGCACCCAGCAGCCGCCTCAGGTTCGCATCGCCGCCGCATGCCAC